TGCAGTGAGCCGAGATCGCACCACTGCACTCCAGCCTGGACGACAGAGCGAGACTCCATCTCAAAAAAAAAAAAAAAAAAAAAAAAAGAAGGAAAAAAAGAGAAAGTATGGCTTTTGATGTCCCTTTAAAACAGCCCAGGAGGGCGCGGTGGTTCACACCTGTAATCCCAGCGCCCTGAGGCAGGTGGATCACTTGAGGTGAGAGTTTGAGACCACCCTGGCCAACACGGTGAAACCCCGTCTCTACTAAAAATACAAAAAAATAGCTGGGTGTGGTGGCAGGTGCCTGCAATCCCAGCTACCTGGGAGGCTGAGGCAGGAGAATGGCGTGAACATGGGATGCGAGAGTTGCAGTGAGCTGAGATTGTGCCACTGCACTCCAGCCTGGGTGACAAAGCAAGACTCCGTCTCAAAAAAAAACAAAGGGACCAGCCCAGGAGGCAGCAGAATGAGCCATGAGGATCTCAGGACAGGGTTAGGCTGAAATAAACTCCTGGGTGTCAGGAAGCCAGAGAGTGGGAGAGACTGGGCAGGGCCAGAGCTGAGACAGAGCCCAGGACCCGGCACTAAAGGGTGGACACAAGCTGACCATGGCCACACAGCTGGAGAGCCTGGAAAACCACAGGAAGTTGAATTTGGTCGATGGAGTGCATGAGGGGTGGTGGCAGGCATCTCAACAGGGGAAGACTGTCCCACTGTGTTAAAAGCTGCTAAAGTCAAGGAAGACAATAGCCAAGCCCCCAGAGGTTGTGAGTCACTCTAGCCAGACTGTGGCAGGGTTGAAACCAGCCCGCAGTGCGCCGGGGTGTCTGGAAGGTGAAGCAGTGGACCCCAGACAGCTCTGAAGGGGGACGGGGGCCTGCAGTTTTTTTTTGTTTTTTGTTTTTGTTAGCTGCTTTTTGTTAATGGAAAAACTTGAACAAGCTTGATTGCTTGATAGAAGGGTCCAGGTGACATGGAAAGGGGGAAGATGCAGAGTGAGGGGACTGATGGGCAGCGAGATGGCTGCAAAGGTAGAAGGAAGCAGCGAGCGGGAAGGGAGGAGACGCGGTGCCGCCGCTCAGCTGTGCCCCATGGCTTCGCCCCGTGGCTTGCTCCCCTCCCCAGGACTGTTCTCCTGTATGGAACAGCCAGACTTACTCCTCATTTCTTACTCCTCATTTCATCTGCGGCCCTGCCCCTACCAGCATGTGCTGAATGATGTTCAGCCTCAGGCGGCGGGGGCCAACTGGAACCAGGGCTCTGAGTGACAGAGACGCAGTTATGTCTAAGGACATACACTAGAATGGCTGATGCAGGGCGCAAGCTCGATTCCTGCGGATGTGTGTTAATGAGCAGCTTCCTCATTTCTGCAGAGGTCAGCGTTCCTTTGGCAAACTGGGAAGGAGCAGTTTAAGGTGCAGCTCCCAAGTGGGTCACACCGACCCCCCAACATCCAGTTCCCAACTGCTGAGCGTGCTTCTCTTCGTGAGGGTGGGCAGGCCAGTGCCAAGGGGCTCAGGATGGATTCTCAGAAATGCCCCACCATGCAGGTGGCTTACAGGAGGGCAAAGCCGATGCCAGCCTCCAGGAAGGAAGTCTGCGCTTTCTTTCCTTAGGGTGAGTACTTACGCAGCCTCCTTGTAACTTAGCCTGAGGGAGTCTACAGCTACCGATCTGCCCACCTGACAGATTCCTGGTGAAGGGCAGGCCACCCAAGGGCAGCTGTGATAAGAAGCCCGCGTAGGGGCAGGGAGGATCTACCCAGGGTCCTGGGGCCCGGGAGCAGTAGGCTGTTCTCAGAAACACATGTTGGGGCCAATATCTGCTCCAGACTTAGCCTGCACTGCCAGTTTTATCAGAACAACCAGAAAGCCCCCGGCCTCGCAATGATCAGGACCCAGTTATTTCTCTGACTTCAAAACAGTTTGCTTACCAGACTAGAGTTGTTGACTGTTATGTTTTTCCAGCAGTGACAGCTGCTAATCAGAATGGACCAGCCGGAGATGACCAATGACATGACAAGACTCCTGCACAATGGGAAGAAATGAGATGCTGCAGCCGACAAGGGCGGCCAACCTGGGAGGCATCTGGCTCCCCCAATACCCGCCGACCACCAAGCTGGCTTCCAGACCTCCTGGGACAGAACTGTTCCTCCCAGGATGCTGGTGTAGGTTCAAGTCCGGTCAGTATTTACCAAGCAACTGCGATGCCCAGGCCTGTTCCAGTGCTGCAGACAGTAAGTGCTTGTGGGTGCTTATATTCAGAGTAAGTCAATACACCAGCTTGGTACCACCTGCGTCTTTGAGGCCAGCAGGGCAGGCTGGTCTCCTCGGCCTCACACTGGAGCTCCTGGCTAGCCGGCGTCTGTGCAGTCAGGGTCCTAGTGATGGGAAGCTCAGCAAACAGAGGAAGCAGAGGGGATGTTCTGAAATGACCTTGAAACGACCTATCGCCCTCTGAGGTGGTCTTGCTGGATGAAGTCCAGCCCGCCACAGGCACTGAAGGGCTCTCATTTGCTAAGCGCTTGCTTTGTGCCAGGTGGCTCTTCCTCTGCTGACACTGATCAAAGGAGGGTGAAAGGCACAACTACTGAAGCCGGGGTCAGATTTGCGAGCGTGGGCTTTCCTAACGCCAAACCCACAGGCGCCGAGGCTTCTCAAGCTCCTCCTCAGCCAGCCCCTGAATTTCTAACTGGCAAAGCTCCATGCTAGCGGTAGGGGAAGAAGGAGCCAGAGAGACCTGAACGGCAAGGGGGCTCCATGTTGGATGGTTCAGGGGAGCAGCAGGACAGCTAGGCCCCTGCTAGCACCTGCCTGCCGTCTCTTACCTGGTCCCCACTGCAGTGCCCCCTGGCAGGACAGAGCCGCTGACTTCTGTCCCACAAGAGCTGTGTGCAAGGTGGGCCCTTGTCCGTGTCGCCAGCTGGAGACTGACCCAAGACTCGGGAAGAAAACTGGGTTGGATCTGTTCTCAGTGTGGTCCCGATCTGCCATGCTGGCACCAGCCGGGTGTGTGTTAGCAATGCTGAGTCTCGGGCACCCCAGGAACCCTATCGGGGATTCAGGTGCTCGCTAAGTTTGAGGACCACTAGATTAGATGATCAGCAAGGTCCTTCCCGAGTCTTTTCTCAGCTGTCCCCTTCCCGAGTTGCCTTGGCGTCTCTCATCCTGGGTTCTGAATCCTGGGCTCCCCACTCTCAGGATACCACATGCCTCCTGCTGGTGCTTTGTGGCACAGGCAAGGCCTCCGGAAACAGCTGTGGGTGGGGCATGGCCACTAACTGGGAAACCTTGGCCACGGACAGGGATTCTCTCTCCTCTTCATTCTGAAGTTCTATGATCTGGTGAACTGAGGTTCATCCTCAATTTTTTTTTTTTTTTTTTTTTTTTGAGATGGAGTCTCACTGTCGCCCGGGCTGGAGTGCAGTGGTAGGATCTCGGTTCACTGCAACCTCCACCTCCGGGGTTCAAGCAATTCTCCTGTCTCAGCCTCCCGAGTAGCTGGGACCACAGGCATGCGCCACCACGCCTGGCTAATTTTTGTAGTTTTTAGTACAGACAGGGTTTTGCCATATTTCTCAGGCTGGTCTTGAACTCTTGACCTCAGGTGATCGCCTGCCTCGGCCTCCCAAAGTGTTGGGATTACAGGCGTGAGCCACTGCACCTGGCCCATGCTCACATTTTTATAAGCACAACGGTAGTAACCAACACAGTCATTTCTCTGAGGCCTTCCTGGGCCAGGCACTGGGCCAAGTCCTTGACTTAATCCTTATTATCCCAACGAGGTTGGAGTCAGCAGGCCTGGGTTCTTGTCTCAGCTCCGACACTTAATAGCTGGGGGGAAAAGGGGAAGGATGTGGGTGGGCAGTGGCAGAACCTTCATTAGGCCCATTTTTGCAGTTTTGAAGGCAGAGCTTTGGAGGGATGAATCACAAATCAGTATGCTGCGTGAAAGCAGCCAGACACGAAAGAGGGCACCCAGCGCAGTTTCATTCACATGAAGTTCTAGACGAGGCAAATGAGACTATGGTGGACTCAGAGCCAGGGCTGTGGTAGTTTCAGAAAGGGGGCAGTTGGGACCGGGAAGGGGCAAAAGGGGACTGCATGGGGTAACGGGCATGTTCCATCTTGATTGTGGTGGAGGCCACAGGACTGTACATGCATCTGTCAAAATGCAACAAACTCTACATTTAAAAAGGATGGATTCTGGCCAGGTGCGGTGGCTCACGCCTGTAATCCCAGCACTTTGGGAGGCCAAGGTGGGCAGATCACCTAAGGTCTGGAGTTCGAGACCAGCCTCAACATGGAGAAACCCCGTCTCTACTAAAAATACAAAATTAACCAGACATGGTGGTGCATGCCTGTAATCCCAGCTACTCAGGAGGCTGAGGCAGGAGAATTGCTTGAACCTGGGAGGCGGAGGTTGCGGTGAGCCGAGATCATGCCATTGCACTCCAGCCTGGGCAGCAAGAGCGAAACTCCGTCAAAAAAAAAAAAAAAGGATTCTACTGCAGGTAAAATAGGCCTCAATTTAAAACATTCTTAGTAAAATATGGGCTTTGGAACTGAATGACTTCTAAAAATGCTTTGAGTCTAAAATCCTGGATTTCTCTGCTTCCAACTGGGGTAACCCAGAGTTATTGCTAACCGATGCAGGAGGAGGTGCGCTTGCGCCTGTCACAGTGCGGGCTCTGCGCCAGGCCCGTCATCTCCCCTCAAATGGCAGCAGTGCCCTGACACTGGTTCACAAGGCATCACCCGCCTCCAGCATAAGCAGGACATCAGTAACCTACAACCGGTTTTCAGGCATCTGGGTCTTCATTGCGCTGCCACAGATCTGCTAAGATGCCTGGAACTTCTCTAGTAGGTGTCACTATTGTCAGTAGGAACTGGTGGGAGGCAGTTAACTAATTTAATGAACAAAAATCACAAAAAAAAAAAAAAAAAAAAAAAAAAAACTTGAGAGGGAGGTGGAGGAGGTAAAGAGCTGGCGACTCCCTGGATCTCATACACACACGGTTCTGCCAGATAATCTTTATTTTACACATTTTGCAACACGGCAAGAGAATTCACCCCGTACATCACCCTGATTGGATCCCCCACCCATTATACATTATATGTTTACATAAATACTCTTCAATGATTAGTGTTTAAAAAAAAAAAAATACTGAAAACTCCTTCTGCATCCCAATCTCTAACCAGGAAAGCAAATGCTATTTACAGACCTGCAAGCCCTCCCTCAAACGAAACTATTTCTGGATTAAATATGTCTGACTTCTTTTGAGGTCACATGACTAGGCAAATGCAATTTACGATCTGCAAAAGCTGTTTGAAGAGTCAAAGCCCCCGTGTGGACACAACTTCTGGACCCTGTTAACAGTTAATCTTATGTGCTCCAAAGGCTGACCTTCTGGAGGCTTACTGCCTCATCTGGCTGCCCCCTCCAAAATCCAAAACCCTGCCTCAAAATAAGCTGCCCTCTGGATGAGTTCGCTGTTCTGTTTCATTCTGACCGTGCTGACTCTGCCCAGAACGCCGTCCCACCTGCAGACGCCCTGCTGCCGGAACTCCAACAGGTCCCTGAGGCAGCGAGGCCAAGCCACGCCCACTCACTCCTGCACCATCTCAGTGTGCTCCCTCACACAGGGCCTGAGATGTGCGGGGCCCATGGCCTGGCAGTGAGTCATCTAAAAGCATTATCTATTTTTCAAGCATAAACCACGCAGAGAGGCTCAGATGCATCGCTGGGCTACAGAAGTGGCCTCTGGGGAATCTGGAGTATGTTCAGCCTGCCGACCAATAACTACCTTCCAGGTGGTGACAAGTATTAGCGTCCGCTCAGGTAGATGCCTTTTAAAGACGCCCTGCCAGAAACACCCTAGGGAAAACTGGAGTGAAGAGCGGGTCTCTCAGAACATTTGGTACGTTCTGGATGAATACCTTTTTGATATACCAAGAGGTATCAAGTCAAAGTCTAACTTCTGTAGCGGGGAAGTCATTAACTTGCTGAATCCTGAAGGGAAGAATCAAGCCGCAGGCCACAGGCACCCTGGACTTAGCTTACGGTGAGTCTTACAAGGCCACGGGCGGGTCAGAGAAAAGCAGAGGGGTGAAGCGTGGAGTGTGGAAGCAGGGGTGCAGGAAAGGGCTAGGACCTGTTTCCTTTGAAGTACAGCAGCTTGGCAGCATGAAGCATGAGTTGTTCCGCTGTTCTACTGGGTGTATGGAGCTGGGCCAACAACCTCAGCAGACTACCTAATGTTCTAAGAGCCTTCCTCGAAGAAAATGCTTCAGGACGGGGGAGGAGGCCAGAATGCATCTGCAGTTCCAACAGGCATCGCTATGCTCTTCCTTGGTCTGTAAGGACTGGGCGCCTGGAGTAGACTGTTGTAAGTACCAAAACAAGACACCCATTTTAGTGTGGAGGAAGACCATCCTATATGACCCAAAGCAGTAATATATGGCACGAGTATGCACGCTCTTGAGAAAATTCTCCTTCGCTTAGAAAATGCATCTTTCACACAGCTGCTGGGAGAAAATGCTGCAATGCACCAAAGCCTTTAGCCCGTGCCCAGAATGAGCCTATGTGGGATCAATAGGCACGGGGAGAAAGAGGGCAGAGAAGGGAAGAAGAGGGAGGAGGAGGGATGGAAGAGAAGGAGGAAGTGGAGGAGGGAGGAGGAGGGGGAGGAGGATGGCAAGGGGGAGGGGGAAGGGCGAGGGCAGAGGAGGAGGGAAGAGGGAGGGAGACTGTGGGACAAGAGACAGCAGAGACGGTGATGAGGTCATCATGCAGGAGGAAATCTCACCCACACGAAGTGGACTTACGGGGCCGTGTGCTGCCTTGGCGGGCTGGACATGTCAGGGGCGGGGAAACCCTGGGTATTTCACTCTAAAGTGGTTTCTTTAAAGAAAACTCAACTGACTCAGGCCATGAGCATCTTTTACACTGAAGCAAGCATCTCCTCACAAGTGCCTCCTACGATTCACCAGAGTCATATTCAACATCATCAAATGCAGTGCTACTTACACTTTAAAGTACTGAGGGGCCAAGAAATAGGCTGCTAAGTCCTCAGCCACTGTTAGGAGCCAGGATTTAGAGATCAATGACTATTCCTATTGTCCAAGAAATAACTTTCTAGCAAAACATACACATTTTATTAAATTTCACAGCCAGCAGCACTTTCAGTCCACAACAGATTTCTCAAAGGAAACATGGATATTTTGCACAGGCAGAAACAGTGAGGAGTACAAAGCGAAGCTGTAAATACCACCAATGGCTCTGCTATGTGCATCCGATATTTTCTGCCCGATCCCTGAAATACTGCGAGGGCTTAACCATTCAAACCCCACATGACAACGCACGCAGTGGAGTGTGAAACTCAGGCTGCAGGAGGGTGGCTTGTCAGCTGGTGAAGCCACTTGGCTTTGGACGCCATCGGTCATCTTTACGCAAGAGCAGAGATGAACGGTGGGTTATAGCTATGACGTGAAGGAGAAAGAGAAGACGCACTCACAGAACAGGATGGAGAGCTTCAATAATTTCTTAAAAGCTTGGAACCACCACCTGCTTTCTCAATCTTGGGCTGGGGTTTTGACTTTTCTTGATCATCAGTCTGACTTGAAGCCTTTTACCAGTTACAATACAGACATGGCCAGATGACCTCCTTGTTAGGAAGGCTGTGGCCATCTTTGCTTCTGAAACAGTCTTATCTCATCTGTCCACTGCTGCTCTGGAAGGGTCAGGACCAGCACTACAGACACTTGGCCATGCTGTGAGTGAGCCCAGACATACGCGTGGAATCTGAACACGCAACACTGGCGTTCCTGTGCCAGTCTGACAGCTGCGGCCCCAGCGACTGTCCACACGCATGCCTGCCTCTCTCTAGCTCCTTCACTCCCTGGCTTCCTTGCTTGCAAAACCCAGCATGTGAAATGAGGACACCTCCACGGAGACCCTTCCGAGCAGGGAGGTTTCATCACACCTTTCGTTCTTGCCAAGGAGTCTGTCGCCTCATCCACAACATCTGCTTGCGGGAGAAACAGCAAATGTGTCCCTCTGAGGGAAGGACTAAGGAGGGCTTTGGTAGTCACAGATTGAAACACATTTCTGCAAAAACTGGTATTGTGTTTCTGCACAGGAAAACAAAGTGTTAAAAATATTCCCATCCTCCTCCCAACTCCCTTCTGTCACACAGTCCCGAGTGAATTCTAAAAAGGTCCAGGAGTGAATTCTTAGGGCGCATTCACCCTTCTCCTGAGGGTGGGAAGACACACGGATGCTCGCCTAAAATATCTGCCGAGAGGTGAGCAGCTGTGGCCTGGGAAGGCGCTTGCTCTTCCTCCACATGAGCAGGTCGCACTTTCAGAGCACCCTACAGAACCCAGATGGCGAATCAAAGTGCAGAAAAAGAACACCCGCTTCCTCATTAGTCATTTAGGAAAATAAAATGGCACGGGACAGGGAAAACAACCATGTTCTGAATGGAGACTTTTTCGGGTTCCCAAACCTGGGCTAGTGAGTGTTATCCCACATCCTGTGGTTTCTGCCTGACCCTTCTAAGCCAGAGGTGAGAAAACAACCCCCAGAGACCACGACTATCACGCCTGGGAGGTCCCTGTTCCCCTGCAGGGGTGGCTCTCTGACAAGCCCCAGGCAGGGGTGAGCTCCAGCTTTTGGAAGCAACCCTACCTAGCTGGCCCCCCAAGCATTAAGCAGCTTCCCTGACGGAGCCATGTTTTGGTCTCCTTTTAAGCCCTCAGTCACAATGGACCTTCTGAGCTTGTCCCACTATTCAGATGATTTTCTGAGTTGCAATACTGCTCACTTTAGGTGGCTACCTGTGTTCACTGCCAAGTTCTGCAAGTGTGGAAGGGAACTTAATCACTGAGTTTCTGTGAAAGATTTCGCCATCCTAAAATCCCTGAGAGTGAAACTGTTGAATCGTGCTCACTTTCTTCACATACATACTCTTGGACTATGGGGACCAAGTCTGTTGAATTCATCTATTTAGAAATCCTACTAGCCTACAGGAAAAGCTTTTTAATGGGGATGATTTGCTTGGACTTAAGTATTTGCTTAAATACTACCTATTCTGCCCGCAGGTGCTCCTTAAAGAAAACTCCTTTCCATTTCCCCCAAAATTCTGATCACACACCACAAAGCCACGAACATGAAGGGAAGCCAAGACGGTGCTCTCTGGGCTGTCAGGGAGTGGATGTCCAGGGAACGCCATAGGCTAATGCTTTTTGAACTTAAAAATACATTTCTTTCCATCCATCAGACAACATCTCAATCAGAAAACCACCTCCCACCACCTGGGCTGTGCCACAGGGCATGACCCTGACAGTGACATCACAGCCTTCTCTTCCTGTTGGAAAGACGACCACTGGGCCGCAGGAGCTGCTGTCCTGGTCACTCTAAGCATCCGGAATAAGGGTCTGGGGCAATGCTGAGGGCAGGAATCCTGGGGCAGATGCTACATCCTCAACTGGGTTTTGACTTTGCTTTCCAAAGTCACCTGTTTTCATTCATTTTTGCCTCCTGAACAGGCAACGGCACTCTCCCCGCCCCTCTTCATTAGTCCAGGGTTCTCAGTAGACATTTCCTAAAGCCTCAGACAGGTACCTCGCACCCTCCTTCCCCCTCCACCAGCTGTCCTTGCTACGCTGCCCCACACGTGGGGTCACAACTGCATACCCCTTAGAGCTCCCAAATGAAGAAGAAAAAAATAAACCTAAATAAAAAATGAATTCTTCCTTTCCTCTTCCTCTCCTCCTCTCTGTGCCCGCCCTCCCATTCCGCCTGAAGGAGGATCCAGCTGCCTTGAACCAGCCACAGATCGTTTCCATAAAAGAGAGTAAAGTCAGGTTTCCGTGGCACTGTGCTCCAGCCATGTGCCCTGGTGTCACTGTCGGAGGTGCCAAGAGTTCACTGGAGGAGCTGCTCCTGCTCTCCAATAGGACTATGAATAAGTTAACAGTTTCCTTGGACAGTGCCATCCTCAGGGTCGGCTCTGTCACACAGCGCCTTCCCACTCGCCCTGGGGCTCCACGGAGCCGTTGGTCACCTTCTTGACTTTCTTCATACTTTCCATCACCCCAGATGTTGTCACACTGAACAAGGAAAGAAGAAACAATTAGGAACATCTCACAGTCTCTTAGTAAAAGGCCATCTCTGCCACAGCACGGTGGTTAGGACTGATGATGGGCGTTGGTTTTCGAAACAGGCAAATCTAAGTTTGATTCCTGGCCCATTCCTTACTAGCTGTGTAACCTTGGCCAAGTCACTTGACCTCTCTGTGCTTAATTCTCACTTTCCAGAACTGGCATGAGGAAAAATGAGATTCTCCAGAGTGCCTAATCAATAAACACCAGCTATCATTATTACAATCGTCATGAATCTTTTTGTCACAGCTTGCGGAATTTTTGTGGTGCATAGATAGGTGACAGTGACGGTTATGAGACTGAAATCTGAATCGTAATGGACATTCAGAAAAGAAAGCTAATTAGCCAACCAGACATTTTTAATAACCAGTCACAATGGATCATTTCTGAGCCAGGGGACAGAACACAGGTTTAGAGGAACCTTCCAGGATCAAAGATCCTTTGGCCGCTACGGACAGAGAACTGGCTGCTTTCTGCAGGCGGGGGCTGGGCCATGTGGCTGTGCCTCAGCGCGTGGCCTCTGCCTCCACTCTGTGAGCTCCCGGGTCTCTGTCTGTTGGTGCCTGGTTCTGAGGCGGCCCCATGGAGCCATTTGTTGAATTCGAGAATTAAAAATGGAAGATCGCTGGTCTCCTGGGGCATGAGGAGCTGAGCAAGGCAGTCCTTTCCATTAGAAGGAACCGCATGCACAGGCCCCACCATCTCGAGAGGATCATCTCTTGCCTCACAGAAGGTGAGCTGGTCTATGAGGGAAGTGGGCGGCTCTGTGAGTAGCGGGAGAACTAGGCAGAGATACTGGGTGTCAAAAGCCACTTGGTCCAGCATCTTCCCTGCACACTAGGAAACAGTGAAGATTTATGCTGCCCCACTGTGGACCAAAAGAAATTTCCTCATCAGTAAAATAAATTCAATCAACTCAACAGACTCTTTCCAAGGACCCATCCCATCCCTCTGCCAACTACCTCACCCCTTCCCCTACAAATGGTGACACAGTGGCTGTGTATGTGACCCATCTTGAGTGCATGCAGCTGGACCTCATGCTAAATAAATGTATGGGGTAAGGGAAGAAAACTTGCCCTCTTCTTTGTCTCTTCATTCTTTGCCATCATGGTGCTACCATGCCCAGGCTCAAAGAATCACCCCCAGCCCGGACCTTTCTCAAACAAGTCCTTTAGACTCACAGGTTATTTGTACTTATGGCAAAGTTGGGACAAAGTATATGGCCAGATCCCATAGATGCTATAAGTGAGTCTAAAAGCATCCCCTAAGACGAAAATGCCTCAGCTGAAGCCGCCCATCGTCACTTCCTGCCAGCTGGCTTGTGTCTCAGGCCTGGCCTCTTTAGGAAGACACCTGCCCCAGGAGGGATCCATGTGCACAGGGCTGCTCCTGAAGGGACCTTCTTTAGACGGGGACACAGGAGGTAGGACCTCTGCATGAGCCAGAGAAGCCCCTGTCCCGAGCCACACAGCAGCCCCTGTGCCTCTCCACAGCGACTGAGACTACAAAGAAATGCGACCCCATGTCTTCCAGAAACATTCCAGTAATCACACAGCTGTCCTATGGTTACTGCATCTTGTTAAAAAACGACAAGGAGTTCAATGCACGTTGACTCTAAGAGGCAAAGCGCATTCACTGTGGCCTGGGTATGGGCCTGACAGCAGACTTGGGAAAAACATTTTCTCCGTCTCTTTCTCTAAGAAAATACTCCTTTCCACATGGTGGGCCAAGACAGAAAACAACTTTTACTCTTCAAGACAGGCTTCATGCTAGCTCATAGAGGAAAAAGAAATGGACTTATTGCTCTCAGCGGGCCCACAGCCCAGGAGAAGAGATGGTCTTCCAGAGCAACACTGCAAAGCCACTTCCAGCAGAGACGGGAGTGCTGGGAACCGGGTTCGGTGATGGCTTCGGCTGAGAAGAATCCCCTCTGCTGGGGAACTGGGGAAGCCAGGAAGCCTGTCATGAGACGTGGAGGAGCTGGGTGGGAGGAAGTCAGAGGAGTTTCCAAGAAGAAGAAATAGGCAAAAAGCATGAAGGAAAAACCCAGGACATTTCCTGGGGCAGTCAGAGAGTGCTAAGTACTCACAGGGTATATATATATTGATTTTATTTTTTGAGATGAAGTCTCGCTCTGTCACCCAGGCTGGAGTGCAGTGGCACCATCTCGACTCACTGCAACCTCCGTCTCCTGGGTTCAAGTGATTCTTGTGCCTCAACCTCCCAAGTAGCTGGGATTATAGGTACATGCCACTATGCCCAGCTAATTTTTCTATTTTTGGTAGAGACGGGGTTTCACCATGTTGGCCAGGCTGGTCTCAAACTCCTGACCTCAGGTGATCCACCTGCCTCGGCCTCCCAAAGTGCTGGGATTACAGGCTTGAGCCACTGCACCCAGCCTACAGTATATATATTTAACACCTCCAGTCAGTCTGCGAAGGAGAGAGGCAGGGAGAGAGCCAGGGACGGACACAGGACGGCAGGGCTGTCCAGGGCCAGTCTGCCTGGTCACCCAAGGATGGCCCTGATTCTTACTCCAGCGGTTCTCAGTTCTGCCTCCTGCTCAGGCTGCCCTAGGGAGTGAGAAAAGCACAAATCCTGAGCACAAGGAGGTGAGAATCAGTGTCTCCAGGGGTGTGGCCAGGAAACCGGCACTGCAAAAACACTCGACAGGTGATTCTAGAGCCTGGGAGAACAGACAGGAAGGGCCGGGCACACATGTATTCCCAGGGCAGCTCATGCCTGCATTCCCAGCACCTTGGGCAGTGGAGACGGGAGGACTGCTTAAGCCCAGGAATTTGAGACCAGCCCGGGCAACATGGCAAAACCCTATCTCTACAAAAAAAATACAAAAACATTAGCTGGGCATGGTGGCATTCATCTGTGGTCCCAGCTAAGGAGGTTGAGGTGAAAGGACTGCCTGAGCCCAGGGAGGTCAAGGCTGCAGTGAGCCGTGATAGTGCCACTGCACTCCAGCCTGGGTGACAGAGTGAGACCCTATCTCCAGGGGAATAAAAGAATGCACAGGAAGGGGAGAGGATCGGGAGTGAAGAGGTCAGCCACCACAAAGCCCAGGCACAGAGAAAGAGGCAGGGTGGGGCTATGGGTGAGAGGCACAAAGTGAGGCCTACAGGACGCTCCGCATGGGCTGAGCAGGAGGGAGGTGTTTCAGTCATGGCTGTGGGAGACTGGGCAGATGTCCGTGTCACCAAGGCCTGTAGGGAACGCTTGGGAGGGGCCAGCTTGGTGTGACGCAGTAAGAGTGCGGCCTCAAGTAAGAGTGCGCCTCCTGAGGCGATGCGGAGCAGGAGGACGGGGACCTGGCATTCAGGAGGGGCCGGGGGCAGTGAGGGGGTAGCAGAGGCAACCCTGGGCTTGGGTGAGTCCTGGGAGAAGAGGGAAAATGGGAGCAAGGGCGTGTGGGAGTGCGGGAGGTTGTCACAGGCAGGGCGGGTGACAGGGAGCTTCAGTGTGTGGCCAGGACTGGGAGTGGCAGAAGTGAACTCAAGGAGAGGAAGAAACCTGATGGCAGATGCCCAGGGTGGGGTGGGCGCTACATCCTGTTCTCCCAGCAAACCTCCGGGAGGCTGAAGGGACACCTGGGGCCCCCACGGCGTGAGGAAACCTGGCTAGCCCCCCGCAGACAGGGCGCCCGCAACGCTCCTGGCAGCTCAGGCTCTGCAGCAGTGAGAAGAGAGAGCTGGGTCAGATGAACACCCAAAAGCCTCGCTGGCAGGAACATGCCGCGGTGGGGCTTCAGCAGCTTCACAGGCACCTCACTAGGTGTCCTAATTTTGGTGCCAACACTTAAGGGGCCGAACAGCTGAAGGGCCAACATCCGAGCAGCAATCTACACCGCAGATAAGCGTTCTTTCCTTGACATCTAAACAGTAACCCCCTTTCCTCACAAAGCCCCAAGTCTCTGTAGTTGCAACCAAAGTGCCGAATGGGACACAGGTTCCTTCTGCCACACAAGACTGCAATCGAATGTGGCTTGAGTCTAAGTGGTCCATGGATACATCCATTTCTTTCTTTCTTTTTTTTTTTCTTCTTTGAGATGGAGTTTCACTCTCATCGCCCAGGCTCTAGTGCAGTGGCGCGATCTCAGCTCACTGCAACTTCTGCCTTCTGATTTCAAGAGATTCTCCTGCCTCAGTCTCCCGAGTAGCTGGGATTACAGGCGCCTACCACCAAGCCCAGTTAATTTTTGTATTTTTAGTACAGATGGGGTTTCACCATGTTGGCCAGGGTGCACTCCTGACCTCGTGATCTGCCTGCCTCGGCCTCCTAAAGTGCTGGGATTACAGGCCGAGCCACTGCACCCAGCTGATACATCCATTTCTATAAAAAGTGTTTTCTGGACTGGAAATGCAGGGAGACCTGGTGAACAGACAATTCTATTAGTCTCCAGTTCCCATTTCCACATTCGTTTTCTGCCCACATGAAAGAATGCAGGGAGTGGTGAAAGGTGAACATCTACCATGAATGAGGACAGCGTTCTGGAATGGGAACCCCAGGGAGAAAACCTCCTGGCCCAGGAACCCACACCAAACACTTCTTTCCACTCTCACTCCTCAAGATGACAGAAGTAATTCAGATTATTAAGGATACCTACAGCCTAGGAGGCAGCTACCAAGTCTGATAATTGAAACTGCACCCAATACTTTTTAACTTGCTGATTATTTACCGATAACTTCTTTTGCCAAAATTGGTAGGCCTAAAGAGAGACGGTCAAAGAAACAGACGGGGAAAGAGAGAGAAAGTCAGTGTTACTTTGGACGGTGCCCTCATTCCCAGGCCCAGAGAGAGAAGCTGTGTCAGGCCTGGTGGGGTCATGGCTGCACAGAGAACAGCCGCGTGGGCCGCACTGTCAGAGAGAAAACAAGCACCAAAACAAAATTTTCAAAAAACTGTTGCCATGAAACAAAAATACCTTCATAATGCATCCAGACTCCAAGATGTAATGGCTGAGGGGAAGGATGTGGGAAGCGGGAGGCCCCCATTACCATTGTGGAGTGCAGTGCAGTGAAGGAGACGATGCTGTGGCCCAGCCACTCTCACCCAAAGACCCCGTGGTATGGGGCTGGACGAAGCTCAAGCCTCCCAGCAGGGGAATGATAAACACATCATGTTTTAGGTTATTTCCTGATGCTGCTGGTGACCAGCCTGACACGTGTGTGCCTCTTCAACCAACAGACGCTTGCTCAGATCCTGCTACTTCTAGGAAAGGCACAGCTGATGGTCCTCCTGCACTCCACTCCACTGTTTAGAAGGAGGAGTTTCTTCCTCTGCATGGGAGATGCTGTTTGGAGCCCACTGGCAGGACCTGCCTTCCTTTACTGCTGCCGTGGAGCTGAGCACAGAGAGCTGTCTCATGCTGCCTGACCCGCTGACAGCCAAGCAGAGCCTAGCATGGGCCGAGTCTCAGCCTCTGAACTGGGAAGAATTCAAAGACTGCCAGAACTGGGGGCAGAACACTTAATACCAGTGAACCAAGAAGGGAAAACTCTGCCTTAGGCTAATCATCAAACACAGCAATTGACCTGGCTTATCAAATTTCAGAGCTAACAAGCAAATATGCTTAATCACTATTCATTTTTCTAGACAATGATCGCCCTTTCCCAGAAAATAGGACCCTAGAGTCACTCACTCCGTGACTCAGAAAAGCCCCTATTAGTGCTCAGATATAGGTCAAAGTCATTGTGCTGTGAAAAGCCACGTAGTTATCTGACAATAGAGGATGTCTGAGGATCATTAGCAGACTTAGAGATGACTCAGATTTCATTTTCAGACATAAGCGCCCGATGGCGGGCCTGACAGAAAGTGAGCTCCTTGTTCTCCCTCGTGAACTGGCCATGTATAGTCCTAAGTTCTTGCCACTGAGTTCTTGAAAGCAGGCTCCAATGATGCTTAGTGGAATGGCAAGTTCCATCTTCCCTGACAAGACCCAGCAAGGCTTGGCAGATTCTGTACTTCAAACCAAATCAGACAGCCTGTCCGTTCCCAGTGTCCATTCCTTCTGCTAAAAATAGAGGAACCACCCCTGGAGCCACGAAATGCTGAGAGCAGCTGGCCCGATTCACACTGCGCTGCTTTTGAGTTAGGCAAAGGGGTCAGGGCTAAGGAAGAGGGAAGAAAGATTTCTTACACAGACTCCATTTCCAAGTCATCTTCTTCCTGAGAGAGTTGTAGGTAGGGGTTATCCGAAGCTGGACGGAATTTATACCCCGTTAGAACAAAGAAGACCAGTGTGGCCGTTTCATCCAGGAGCTGCAAGTTTAAAAACCACCCCAAAATAAAGAGATTAGCAAAACTGTTCTTCAGAAAGCAGTGCAACTCAACGAACTGACATATCCCCCACAACCCACCACTTGCTGGTTCTTCACTCAAATGCCACTCCCTGCTAGAGGGCATTTTCTGTAGACTTGCCGAGGCCTAAACGAGGAGCGTCCTGCCCAGGGATGACCTTTCAGAGGCTGCGCTCTGCTCTGCTTTAACCAGTCTTCGTGGGGAGCTTTTAAGAGCTCCTTACACACCCACTTCCTCCTACAGCGCCTACAGCACAAAGTGAGTTATTCAAGAAAAGTCATTTGGTGGCTACTCTAGTAGTTAAGCTGGTTCTAGTTTATTGCAAAGACACTTTATTACCGAAATAATAAAATGGGCAAAGAAGAAGGGCTGTCTTGATTTCTAACTACTCTAAGCCCTGTAACTAAAGGAAAAGACCACATCTCATCTAAGTTCTAATTATTCAGGGCAAATCTTTCTCTGCCTTAGGCTTTTCTCTTCAGACTTTTAAGACTGAAAACTAAAATCAAGAATGCAATTATTTTCAGATTCCTCATGGAATCCAGCAGCATTTCTGGACAAACAGATCATCTCAATTATAGGCCAGAGGACATGGAAGGAGGCCGGGCGTGGTGGCTCACACCTGTAATCCCAGAACGCTGGGAGGCCGAGGTAGGCGGATCACTTGAGATCAGGAGTTTGAGACCAGCCTGGCCAACATGGCGAAGCCCCATCTCTACTAAAAAAACAAAAATTAACCGGGCATGGTGGTTCATCCCTATAATCCCAGCTACTCGGGAGGCTGAGGCAGGAGAATCGCTTGAACCCGGGAGATGGAGGTTGCAGTGAGCTGAGATCACACCACTGCACTCCAGCCTGGGCAACAGAGACCCTGTCTCAAAAACTAAAAAAAAAAAATTTTTAATTAAAAAAAAAGAGGAGATGGAAGGTCTTCGTGGTCATTCCCAGACAAATTAGTAACAATTGTTAAGTTACACTTCAAGACTTTATCCTCAGGCATAAATTCTCTGGCATTCTGCCCCGTGAGCAGCATACCTGGTAGAGCCACTTCCACTGGAATGGAACAGCGAGTTTGAGGAGAAATGCAATGATCCTAGTGAAGTATATGTAACACACAATCTGTATGAGGAGGAAAGAAACAGGAAATCAAATCAACATGAAAATCAGGACACCACTTTAACAATTTGCTTTCACAAATAAACTAGGAAACAGAAAACAGAATCACTCAAAGAAAAGTATGTGACACTTACAGTGTGAATTAATACATGCAGCGGAGAGACACGGCTACTCTGCTAGTTACACTTGAATGTCTTCACTCTCCAGGTGACCAAGATATTGCTAACAGCCACACCCACGGGGAGCACAGGACACTTCAGTAGGGCTGTTCTTAACCCTTCCTCACCCTATCTATCCACAGACAGAAGCCCTTGATTTCAATCTCCACAGATTGTATTGCTTATTCTCAGGCTTTGAGGAATATTTACCAGTAGTGAGAGCAAAATAAAGCCACACAGGGAAATTACTGGCTTCTGTCCTCTTCTCTGGCAGATGCTGCAAGCATTCAAGGTCCACACTCGCAGAAGTACAAATACTACCAAGTTCTCTAGCAAGACAGGATGCCTTAATTTCTCTCTGCAGTGACAAGGACTCAATGTGCTGGCCACTAGAGCATGGCCTGTGCACAGGGACTAAGCTCAGCTGGCCAAGGACCACTCATTATCACTGCACGCAACAAGAGAGGTTCTGTGATGACCTGTGCCTGTTTGGTGGATGATATAAAATCCACGGGAAAGAAAAAATAAAAGAAAGAAAAAAAAATCCACCCCAAGTGGAGTGTCTTCTCTTGCATCTCTCTCTACCACTGAAGTCTGATGTTTGCTTGAGCAAAGGAACTGTCCGAAGTGACAATGCCAAACTCACAGATGAAAGACTTAGAAATGGTCCTTCAAGACTCAGGAAGCAAACTAACTCTGCGAGGCATGTACCTTATATAGTCTAAGAAATTATGATCCTAATAATTCCTAGCAACCTCTGTCTTTTGGTGCTAGCTGATAGAACTTTTCATGTCCATCAGAGTCCTGTTTTTAGGTTTTAAAAAAACTGTCTTTTTTTTTGTTCTTAAGAAAAATTTATTACCACAACATGTAACTAGTTTTCTGCAGGGAAATTTGAAAGAAGAGAGAGGTAGATACTCCAATAATTTTTTTTTGAGACGAAGTCTCACTCTGTTGCCCAGGCTGGAGTGCAGTGGCTCTCTTATCTCGTCTCACTGCAATCTCCGCCTCCTAGGTTCAAGCAATTGCCTCAGCCTCCCAAGTAGCTGGGACTACAGGCATGCGCCAGCATGTCCAGCTAATTTTTTTTTTTTTTTTTGTATTTTTAGTAGAGATGGGGTTTCACCATGTTGTACAGGCATGAGCCACCCCGCCCAGCTAATTTTGTTTTTATTTTTATTTTTAGTAGAGACGGGGTTTCACCATGTTGGCCAGGATGGTCTCGATCTTCTGACCTTGTGATCCACCCACCTCGGTCTCCCAAAGTGCTGGGATTATAGGCGTGAGCCATCGCACCTGGCTGATACTCCAATAATTTTTTAAATGAATAAAACAAAAATGGCCGCAGAAGAACATGATAGTGTGATCCCAGTTTTCTAAATGAGTAAAAATAGTGGCTGGGATTGCACCACTGCACTCCAGCCTGGCAACACAGTGAGACTCCATCTCAAAAATAAAATATAAAAAAAAAAATTAAAAAAATGTAACTCAGGTATTTAATTTCCTATTTTAAAAGGCACAACTAGATTTTATAAAATGAAAGTCAGGCATGGTGGCGTGCACCTGCAATCCCAGCTACTCAGGTGACTAAGGTGGGAGGATCTTTTTGAGCCCAGGAGTTGGAGTCCATCTTAAGGCAGCATAGAGAGACCCAGTCTTTTAAAAAAAAAAAAAAAAAGAAAAGAAAAAAAAAATCACAAAAGCACGTCACACTGGCCAGGTGCAGTGACTCACACTGTAATCCTCGCACTTTGGGAGACCGAGGCGGGTGGATCACCTGAGGTCTGGAGTTCAAGACTAGCCTGGCCAACTTGGTGAAACCCCGTCTCTACTAAAAATACAAAAATTAGCTGGGTGTAATGGCAGGTGCCTATAATCCCAGCTACTCGGGAAAGCTGAGGCAGGGAGAATTGCTTGAACCCGGGAAGTGGAGATTGCAGTGAGCCAAGATCTCTGCGCCACTGCACTCCAGCCTGGGTGACAGAGCTAGACTTCATCTCAAAAAATAAAAATAAAAAGATATGAAAAAAACCCAAGCCATACTGCTCAGCTCTAGGTGGCACATCTTGTGCTTTCACCAATTCTTTGGAAGTTCATTTGCTGTACTCCTTGAATTGATTTTATTTATAGATTAAGGATTTTTTTTTTTTTTTTTACTTACCAAGACGTAATAATGTCTGAAAAGTTTCAGCTTTGCTAAGTTAATAGCAGCTAGAGAGAAGAAAGAACAAAATGAAGAGCTCGTTAACTTCTCATTTTAAAAAGCAAGCCTCATTCAGACACCCTCTCAGTCAAGAGGCCACCTCTAATGCAGATGAGGACCACTCAGAGGCACATCCATCTATCTGGAATCAAGTCTGCTGGGCAGACTCTCCTCCAATCACCAGGAAAAAAATGTGGGAGCAGCACAACCACAGGCGTGAGCTGGAGTTGGCTTGCACCAGCGATTCCTGCCCAAGGGTCAGCAGCTGTAACCTGGCTATGGTGGGAGTATACTGACATCACAGGAATTGGAAGATGCTACAAATCAGGATCCCCCCCCCCCCCAGAGAGCCAGCATTAAACATTCCAGCACTGCACAGAGCTGTGACCTCCACTGCGACTAGTCTCAGGTTGGTCCCAGAGAACCACCTGGGGGAGCCTCCCACTAGTTGAGGGTGTAAATTCAATTAACCCACAGGTGCATTTTGCAAATTTCACTGAAGTTATCATTAAGCGACTTGTAATAAGCCCTTTCAGTACCTTCCTGGCTGGATCCTACCTTCATGCATGCTCAAGGTCAGCTGAGCCAGGACAGCTACCTTCCTGACACTGCCTATGGCTCTGAAATATTGATGAGTAGAGGGAAGCCTGGCTCCCTCCCAGATCAGCAATCCTTTCATTCATCATAAACCTTCCTGCAGGAGGCAAATTAATTTTGCTTAATAGCATTCAATTACTGATTCAGTTTAAGAATGGGACTGTGGGTGGTGAAGGTTCAAATTTCCTCTTCTTCCTCCTTTGGGCTCATGATGAGTTGACGGGCAGGGAGGAGCAATCAGGCTCAGGATTCCAAAAGAAATTCCTGTAATCCTAAATTATCTTCAAGATGAGTATCAACTAACAGAATCTACAAGAACCTCCTCTGAGAAACCCAGTGCATTAATGAGGGACACTCAGAAAGTCTCACAGTTGAGAAGACAGAACACCTGCCTCTGGGGCTGCAGTGGATTCACGCAGGCACGCACACAACACCCGAAGACGCAAAATCACAGCAGCTTTCTTATCTGTTATCTGGCAACCTCTCTGGCAGTCTTGTTATTTTGAAAAAATTAAATCTCAGCCAGGTGTGGTGGCTCATATCTGTTTGTAATCCAACACTTTGGGAAGCCAAGATGGGAGGATCCCTTGAGCCCAGGAGTTTGAGACCAGCCTGGACACACAGGGTGAGACCCCTGTCTCTTTAAAAAAAAATTTAAAAATTAGCCAGGTACGCTGCCTACTTGGGGGGCTGAGGCAGGTGGACTGCTTGAGTCCAGGAGTTTGAGACCAACCTGGGCAACATAGTAGAACCCCGTCTCAAAAAAAAAAAAAAAAAAAAAGAAAGAAAGGAAGGAAAGAAAAGAGAAATAGGCCGGTCGCACGCCTGTAATCCCAGCACTTTGGGAGGCTGAGGAGGGCAGATCATCTGAGGTTAGGAGTTCAAGGCCAGCCTGGTCAACTTGGCAAAATCTCGTCTCTACTAAAAATACAAAAATTAGCCAGGTGGGTGCCTGTAATCCCAGCTACTTGGGAGGCTGAGGCAGGGGAACTGCTTGAACCCAGGAGGCAGAGGTTGCACTGAGCCAAGATCGCGCCACTGCACTCTCCAACGTGGGTGACAGAGCAAGACTCTGTCTCCAAAAAAAAAAAAAAAGACCAGGCATGGTGGCTCACGCTTGTAATCCCAGCACTTTGGGAGGCCTAGGTGGGTGGATCACGAGGCCAGGAGTTCAAGACCAGCCTGGCAAAGATGGTGAAACCCCATCTCAACTAAAAATACAAAACTTAGCCAGACATGGTGGCAGGCGCCTGTAATCCCAGCTATTCGGGAGGCTGAGATGGAGAATTGCTTGAATCTGGGAGGTGGCAGTTGCAGTGAGCCAACATCACGCTACTGCACTCCAGGCTGGGTGAATATAAGGAACCCAGTCTCAAAAAACAACAGAAAAAGTACATTAAAAATTAAATCTCTCTGGTTCTCATCATTTCTTTTCTTTCTTTTTTTTTTTTTTTGAGAGAGGTCTTGCTTTGTCACCCAGGCTGTAGCACAGTGGCACAATCACAGCTCGCTGCAGCCTCGACCTCCTAGACTCAAGTGATCCTCAGAATCCTGAGTAGCTGGGACCACAGGTGTGCGCCACCACGCCCGACTAATTTTTGTATTTTTAGTAGAGATGTGGTTTCACTATGTTGCTCAGGCAGGCAACAGCCTGCCTCAGTCTCCCAAAGTGCTGGGATTACAGGTGTGAGACACCACGTCTGGCCTCATCTCTTTTTTATTCAGTCAATACAAACAAACCAAGCCTCGACTCTGAGCCAGGCCCTGGGATACAGCAGTATATACGACAGCTGCAGCCTTTACCCCTGGGGCAGCTGCCATCCTGTGAGGAGGGAAGGGCACTGAAGCACAAATTATGCACTCACTGAGTGACATGTACACACAGCCACTGCCGACGGGCGTGCGATCAGGTACTCCTCCTCCCCTGGGGGATGGGAAGGCCTTCACAGAGGACAAGACATGAGAACTGAGAAGCATCAGATATGGATAATGAAGTGCTCCCAGGGATTTTAACCTTCACCCTCTGGGATGAACCTTTTGTGTTCCTCTCTGGACGCAAACCTGCTGCTCCCATCGGCAGGTGACAATGAAATGACCAGTTCATACAGGTCTGCCTAATAGAACCAGCGACACGACCGGAACTGTGGCCCTCCCAAACCAGCCAAACACCTCTTCAACATGAACACTCGATTCTTCACAGCACCAACAATTAGACGGTTTAAATGATTAAAAAATGCTTTAAGTCTCTCCTGAATTTTGCTTGCTGAGGTCCTGACAAAGGAAACTCCTACCTTGCTTCACGAAGAAAATCAGATAGACAGAGAAGTGTCATGTTTTCTTTCCTGGGTTTCAAGGTGCCCTGGCAGGGGTAAGCATGGGCTCCCAAGCCAGACCAGGGAAAAGGGGTGAAAGAGAGGGTTTCTCAAAGGGCCTGAACACAGCTCAGCCATGAGCCAGAGTGGGAGAAGGCAATGCAGAGAGTGCTGGAGAACAGCAGGTGTGGAGGCTCAGAGGTGAGAGAGCTACACATATCAGGGAAGGAAAAGTAGCTCAAAGCGGCTGGCCTGTGCACAGCCTAGGAAACAGGGCAGGGCTAAGAGTAAAGCCAAAAATTCAGTAACACACAGAAGACTGAACTTGTTCTCCTCGTTGGTTTTGGGGGTCCCAGGGAACCTCTAAAGCAAGATTGTCCAACCTGCACCCCAGGACAGCTTTGAATGCGGTCCAACACAAATTCGTAAACTTTCTTAAAATATTATGAGATTTTTTTTTGCAATTATTTTATTTTTCTTTTTTAGCTCATCAGCTATTTTTAGTGTTAGTGTGTTTTAAGTGTAGCCCAAGACAATTCTTCCAATGTGGCCCAGGGAAGCCAAAAGATTGGACACTTCTGCTCTGAAGGGTTTTGTTTTGTTTTGAGATAGGGGTTCACTCTGTCTCCCAGGCTGGAGTGCAGTGGCGTGATCATGGTTCACTGAAGCCTCAACCTGCTGGGCTTACATGATCTCAAACAGCTGGGACTACAGGCGCACACCATCGTGTCCAGCTAACTTCTTATGGAGACAGGGTCTCACTACGTTGCCCAGGCTGGTCTCGAATTCTGGAGCTCAAGCAATCCTCCCATCTGTTTTCCAAACTGCTAGGACTGCGGACATGAGGCACCCTGCCAGCCCGTTTTTATTTTTTAAACTAGTCAACTGCAGCCGTGAGAAGGAGGGAAAGAGCAGAACAAGGAGTTCGATCTGTAGATCTGTAACTATGAAAAACCAATGGAGAGGAGTCACAACCACCTTCGAACCAGCCTCCCAAAGGCTTTAGACGACACCATGATCAGATGTTGAGAACAATTCCTTCATGGAAGAAGGATGGAGAGAAAAAAGAGGAAGAGCCCAAATGAGGTCAAAGACCTTGAGTCTGTGGAGGCCCCTCTAAAAGGCAATGAGATGTCTGTCGATGTAAAGCAATCAAAGAGTGGATGGGGCAGTGAACAGCAGGCTGATCCCACCTCAGTGGTTGCTAGGAAAGAAGGAAGAGCAACAAGGTAATGAAGTTGAAGACAGCAGAGAGAATCTTTAAGGTAAAGTCTGACGGGTCTGTCCTTTCACAGGGAAGGAAATGAGGATGGGGAGGGGACCAAGGGAAAGCAAAGAGGTTAAGGCACTGCAGGTCTTAACCAAGTAAGGCCCGGGGTGGGGTGAGAGCAAAGGAGAGGAAGGTGCTCCGCCTGGCACCTCCCTGGCATCATGCGTCACCACATCACATCCTCCAGGCTCAGGCAAGACACCCTCTGAAGGAAGGTAGGCTATGAGCCGCTCCATAAATGAGCCTGTGCACCCCACATGGGGACTGATGAAGAAACATCACCATGGTGCAGATGCCAGGCCATGCAGGTGCTAAGGCTGACAAATGGACCCTGGGGACAAGTGTTATCTTTGAGAAATGTAGTTAGAATAAGCAGAGCTCACCGTTGTTTCCAAAACCCAGCAGGCTGGCTCACGCCTATAATCCCAGTACTTTGGGAGGCTGAGGCGAGAGGATCACTTGAGCCCAGGAGGGAGAGACCAGCTTGGGCAACAAGACAAGTAGAGACCTTGTCTCTACTAAAAATAAACATAAATCAGCTGGACATGGTAACACATGCCTGTAGTCCCAGCTACTTGAGAGGCTGTGGTAGGAGGGGAAGCAGAGGCCAAAGTGAGCCCTGACTGTGCCACTGCACTCCAGCTTGGGTGACCGAGTGAGACCCTGTCTCAGTAAAACAAACAAACAGATTAAAAATTAAAACCCACCAGTCGTGATGCCATCATTTCCAGTCACGTGTAAGACATTCCTTTATCAGATGGCAGTTGGCAGGGGTGAAGCTCCCAAGCCTTGCACTGGAGCTCCAGTCACAGCTGAAGCAGCAGAGGCA